TAAATAAAATCTGAATGGTACAATAGATATTGTGAAAGGGAAAGAAACTACTAAAAAGGAAAGAATAACTGAGATGAAGGAAAATAGAAAAGGAAGGAAAGGAAAAATTATATATATATATATATATACACACATAAGTTAGTAAACTAATTGTACTACTAATATCTATTGGTTTATTGAAAGGAACAGTTAATGTTTAATTGTTTGATCAGTCTCACATGCTTATATTTGGTTATCTGAGTAACCAATTTGGAGATAACAATAAGTAATACAGTAACCATTATTAATTTCCCATCATTTTGTTTGAAATTCTGTATCATTTTTATTGTGTTTGTGTTGTTTTGTTCATGTCTTTGTATTTATAAATTTGTTTTTGTTCTTTTCTTTTTAGAATAAAAAAATAAAAAAAATTTTTAGTCAGATGATTTTTTTTGTTGAAAATATTTTTTGAGTTCTATCTTGAGTGTCCCAGGATGCTTAGTAGTACCCTCTCCTCTACTCAGTAAATGCCATTGTTGGGACAATACGATGATCTCTTGACATTTCTAAACTCCAGGGCAAAAGCTCCCTCTGTCAAGAACCACCCACTTAGTGCACCATAAGAGTAGTAGAACTTGTTTTAAATATGCCATTTACAATGTGAAGTTGCCTTGCGGGGATTTTTAAATGTTTTTCAGTTCAGAGAATGAAATCCGTGTAAGCAAGATAGGATAGTCCATAGATGTACTTACCAGGATGGATAAACTGAAGTCCTCATAAGCAAGTGAAGTGGTATACACAAAGGAACTGAGAACTGTGCCAATTTTTCTCACTGTGTTCCATTCATGACATTGTATTAGACTATGTTGGATGTATCAGAGATTTACTAAGAGCTGGGGCAGTGTGACTGACCGGCAGTGTGACCAACTTTTTGAGGCACTGTTTCAAGGCTGCCTCTGAAAAGCTCCAAGACATTTGTCCAACCAAAGATGTTTTTGGCTATGACCCCTCAAAATAGAGGGAATAAAAAAAAAAAGACAAATGGGACCACATTAAACTAAGATTTTCTGCACATCCAAGGAAACAACAGAGTGGAGAGACAATCTACAGAATGGGAGAAAACATTTGCAAGCCATATGTTTGGTAAGGGATTAATACAAAAATATATAAGGAACTCAAACAACTCAACAGCAAGAAAAAAATCCTATTTACAAACGGGCAAAATACATGAATAGACTTTTCTCAAAAGACAACATGCAAATATTCAACAAATATATAAAACAATGTTCAATATTACTAGTCATTGGGAGAATGCAAATTAAAAATATTATTACCTCACATCTGGAAGAATAGCTGTTACCAAAAGGTAACAAATATGAGTGAAAATATGAAGAAAAGGGAGAAACTTGAACACTTTTATGTTGTTGTTGGGAACATAATTTAGAGCAGTCATTTTGGAAACATTATTGAGGTTCCTCAAAAAACTAAAGATATAGCTACCAAATGATCTAGGAATCTCACTGCAAAGAATATCTATCTATCATGTATGTATATATGTATGTATCTATCTATCACCTATCTACCCTCTATCTGTCTCAGCTCAAGGTGTATATTCAAAAGATATGCAATCATTACATTAAAGACCTCAGTTTATTGTAGCACTATTCACAATAGCTATGATACAGGACCAGCCACGGTGCCCATCAGTGCATAGATGGAAAAGGGAAAATCGTACATCTACACAGTGAAATACTAGTCAGCATTAAAAGGCAGGAATTTCTTTTCTTTGCGTCAACCTGAATGAACCTGGGGATATTACCTTAAGTGAAGTAAGCTAGACACTGAAATAAAAACATAGTATGATATGATTTGCATGTGGGCTCTGAACAAGTCAGGTTCAGAGAAACAGATAAAGTGGTGATTATCAGAGGAAGTGGTGGATTAGGAAATTGGGGAAGATGCTGGTCAAAGGACACAGAATTTCAGTGAGAGAGGAAGAAGGAATTCAGGAGATCTATTGCACTTCACAGTAAGTATAATTAACAGTATATTTTATATGTCAGACTTTCTGAGAGTAGATTTTAAGTATTCTCACCACAAAGGAAATGACAAATATGTGCAATGCACATATTGAATAGCTTGATTTAGCTATTCTACAATGTAAAATATCTACAATGTATGTATTTAAAATATATTATACAGTTGTAAGTTTACACAATTTTTTCTTATCAGATAGATAGATGACAGATGATAGACAGATGACAGATAGATGATAAACAGATAGATAGATAGATGGATAGATAGATAGATGGAAGTTGGCTGGCAGCTCTGGAGGCTGCTGCCTCTCACCACCTGGGAAACAGTGGGCTCTGGCCAGTGAAGTTCCAGCTAACCAGCTCCTCTCGTCTGGTTAGGTTGACTGGACATGCACAGGAGTCAATGCGGCCTGCAGCAGGTCTAACAGACTGAAGAACCTGCAGACGAGGTAGGCTTTAGGAGTATGGGGACTAACAGGTAAGGGAAACAGCCAGACAAACAGTGGCACACAAGTCACAGAGGGACAAGTCAAGGACCCGGTGACACCTCTTTAAGGGAGACGGGAAGGATGGCTGCAGGCAGAGGGGTTTATGAATTCGACGGCAGGAAGGGGTGGGGTTGACATTTGTTACCTTGGTACTTTTGCTCACATCTGAGGGAAGCTCTTTTCTAGAAAATGAGGGTGAGTTAAGGGAGCAAGTGGATTGTGACAGGTGCCAAGGGAAAGGGAAGGGAATTTTAAAAATGTGAGCAACATTTAAAGCTCAGCTAAGACAAAACACCAAAAATTCACGATGGCATCAATTCCGTGGTCTCCCAGACTGTCCCTGACTGTCCCGCGGATCTGGCACGGGGAAGAAAAGGCAAATTACAGGATTCATTTACTTGTTCAGCACCGTTCTAAATACTGCAGACAAAGCAATGGACTGAATCAACAAAACTCTGTGGTCTCGTATAGCTTACAGTCTGGAAAGGAAAAGCTGAAAATAAATAAGGACAGTGAATAAAATGACAGCATGTCAGGACAAGTCTAGAGGAAGAGAAGCTGTCACTTCCGATGGGGAGTGTGGGCGCGGCTTCTGAGCAGGCACTGTTTGAGAAAGGCTTGAGCAAGGTGAGGTGTGGGGCCATGTGGCAAAGCACATTCCAGGCAGATGAAACAGCAAGTGCAAAGGTCCTGGAACAGGAGTGCACTTGACAGGTCTGAGGAAGGGAAGCAAGGATGGGACCAGTGTAAGGGAAGGGTAAAGTGTAAGCTGAAGTCAGAGAGCAAGGCTGAGGGCAGGTTATGCGGGGCCTGGTGACTCGCGGTTTTTTACATTGACTCAGTGCTAGAAACCTGAAGAAGAGGAGGTGGAGGTGTAGAGCCGGGGGAAATGCTCAGACATTGGTGAAAACGTCCTACATATATCACTGGGAAGCGAAGGGAGTCCCGGAGTGAGTAGCTAAAATAAAGGACAAGAAAATAAGGAGAGAATGCAATCGTAGAAGGCAAAGGGAGAAAGGCTTTCTAGGTGAGGCTGGACTTAATGATTAAATGATCACATTTATTTAGCACATGTGAGGTGCTAAGTGCTTTGCGTTTTCTCAGTAAGCTCCCACTCCTCTAATACCATCTAAGTTACATTATAATGCTTCCAATCAAATTTTACAGATGTAGAAACTCAGGCACTGAGGAAGGCAAGTCATTCTAAGCCACGCTGACAGTGGTAGACGTGGGATGTGAATTCCTCTAGTCTAACTCTTCTGCTCCCATTGTCTCCTCCCAGCTACCTTGAAGAATTACCCCTTGGGGTGCCGCAGAAGATATGTGTATGGCAGAGGCAGACACGTGTCCCTGGGCGGATGTTAGGGGTCGCCGGTCAAGGTGGCTGAGGGCAGAGGCAGCGTTTTGCAGCAGTTAGGGACAAAGGAAACGGCAAGGGAGCGGAGGCGGCTGTCAGCTCTTGGACTGAAAGGACGGCGGCTGTGGTTAGTGGCACAGGGAGGATGCGGATGGTTGTACCTGGGAGGGAGATGCTGCATGGGAGTGCCGCAGTAGGGACCCAGGTAGGAGTGGAAGAAAGGGAGCAGGGCAGGGACAAGCGTGAAGGCGTGAAGTCTTGAAATGACCTTGAGAAAACTGTTTTAGAGAAAATAAGGAGAACCGAAGGAGTAAGTGGTGAGCGCAAGGTCCCAGAGCCTATTCCGCAGAGGTTTAGGGACCAGAGTCCGTGTTTCTGACTGCTGAGACGCCCAGCCTCTGCTGCTGATTCATCTGCTGGTTACTCATCCCCTATCTCAAGGGGATGATTGTGGTTAATAAATGAATACAGCGAGGAAAGCCACTGCAAAGGGCAGCTCTACAGAAAGACCGAAGGCGTCTCGACTTCTGCGTTTTCTTCCCAGCTGCTTCCCCCATCTTGTTGGCAGGCGGAACTGGCTTTTCCTGACTCTCACCTGCCCTCAGAGACCGCTGGTTTCTACTGATACTAAACAGGCTCTCAGTAGAGAGAACTAAGGTCATCCTGAGGGAACTGCTGGTTGAGTCAGGCTCTACGGAGCTTTGAAATCAAAGTGCTTGTGGTAGGTCGGTGCAGATGGGAAATCAAGCCAGTGTGCATAGGAAGGACTTAGAGCAACTGTTACAGATATGGAGATCCTAGCAGGCATTTCAGGAAAGTCTGCAGTTTAGTCACAGTCCAAGTGGGAAAGGATGAGTGCAGTTCTGTCTTCTGAGTTTCCCGCCCCTTGCCCCTGGTGGTCAAGCCATGGGGGAGGTTTCTGGTTTAGGAATCTAGATTTGCGAGGGGGGATGTTCAGTGCATCCTCCACGCATAAGATTTTCAGTGCATATTTTGATGTCATCACAATTCTATTTACATTCTATAAAATGTAAATTTTTAACTCTGAAGGAATTACAATAGTCGATTTTTAATACTTCTATTATCTTGGGCAAACATTGAAATTCTTGATTAATGTTTAACTCTAAGAGTGTTCTCAGTTCAAGCAGAGGATCAGTTTCAGGGCTCAGCCAGAGGTGTCTTGATGATTAGGTTTCTGGCTGCCCGGAGAAGCCCCCCACGACAAGAGCGACCGGATGTACCTGAAAGTGGGAACAGTCTCCAAGCTGCAGACAATGTGGATTGGATATAAGATCTTGGTCTTTTCTTATCTGACTACAGAAATTTGCATGGAGAAGCACTATTTATCTCAAAGAGCAGTGCACCGAGGAGATTATTTCCCTAGGAATCGCACTATTTTGGAAGGTATTCGGTTCAAAAGAGCCACTTACCAAGGACGGTACTGTAGAAGTTTTGGTTGCTGTGAAGATAGAGACGATGGCTGTGTCACACAGTTCTACGAGGCAAATGCATGGTGTTACTGTGACGGATTCTGTGAAAGGGAAAATTCTGATTGCTGCCCTGACTACAAGTCCTTTTGCCATGAGGAGAAAAACCGGCCCGCTCCCACACAGCCTTGGCATCTAGAAGGTAGGCTTTGGGAAAGCACCCCAGCTCATAGCAAGCCCGTTTCTTTGCCTCCTCCCTCCCTCCCTTCCTTCTTTTTTGTCTTCCTCCTCCCCTCCCCTCCCCTCTCTTCTCCTCTTTTCACCTGTCCTCTCCTCTCCTCCCCTGTCCTTTTCCTTTTGTTTTTTCTTCACTCCTTTGGTGAAATGAAGATGATTATTATGATTCTCAAGGTAAATGCCTTTGAGTTATTAAAGTGCTTCTGTTTAGATGCTTAGTATTTAGCTCACAGTGGCACCTTCAGGAAAGCTCAGGTGTAATAGCAGTTCCTGCAGGTCTGGATCCTGTTTTGAGCTCTCTTTCAACTTATATAAGGATTAAAGCTCTTTTTTTCTTCATAAAATGTGTTGACATCAGGATTATCAAGATTTTTTGAGTGCAGCCCATTAAGGAAACTCATGAAAGTTACAAGACCGATCACGTGCAGATTCTAAGAGCATTGCAGTCATTTTGTGGAGCTACTTGGCCTCTAATATTACAACCTGTGGTACTAGTAATGCCATTAACACCAAGAGAAAAGCAAAGTACAGCAAGTTACTTTCCCTACCTAAGTAACAACAAATAGATCCTTCATGTATACTTCTGTTTTATTTTCCCAGCTTGAAGATTTTAGGATTATTATAAAGAAAGGAGAGCTTTAAGTCAAGTAGGTATAAAAGCTTCAGTGGACAAATGCAAATGTCTGTGAGGGAAATGGTGGTACTTGTTATACTGGTCTAACTATATGAGGATGGATACTGATTTTGAGCAATTGATATAATTAAGCTCTGAGACAAAAACAGACTAAAAAAATCCTACATAGATGCTTAGAGGAAGCTTTATCTTTTTCTTCTCATTAGAGCAAATCACCACAGGAGATGGGGAATGCAGGGTCAATTGGAGCTCTGTCACACTACCGGAAATGGATGTAGTGTGCCTAGAAAGTACAGTGAAAAGACATGTTAGATGTCATGGACTTGCCATCTTTATTTCAAAATCCAAATGCTGTTGCCCTCTTTTTAATAATATCATTTTATTTGTAAAATTGATAGAAATATTTCTTTAAAACATGCTTGTATTACAACTTTGCACAGAACTGTCATTTTTTCAAGGTGTTGCATTTTATCAGAGGAAAACCGGGCAAACATTTATTTCACCCTTCAGAGTGCGCACACTCCACTTGCAATGAGCGGTCTAGTCCTTCTCCAACAGTTGCTTGTGGAGCACCTCGGCAGGGCAGGCAGCATGCTTGGCACTACTTCTGCACTGGGGGGAAAGACAAGACCCGAGTCTCCTGTAATTTGCAATCAGATTTGTAGAGGATGTTAGGTGTGTGAAAAGTCCACCGTGCAACTGCAAATTGTGATACATTCTCTAAAGAAAGTACTAAGGGTGCTGAGGAAAGTATCACCCAGTGTAGCATTGGTATGTAAGATACTTGCAGCATTCACCCGACTGGGGAGTATGGAGAGGAACATTTACACTGAGACGGAGGAATGAGGCATGAGAGGACCTGGAGGGGAGCTGACAGATAGTTATTGCTGTTGTAGATAATTTATCTATGAAATTTCACGCATTATCTGGCAATCTTTCTCAATTCTTTTATCAAAAATGATAATGCATTTTATCATATTAAAGATTTCCCTACTCAAATCTCAAAGTAAAGATTCCACATCATGGAAAAATTGTAGATGTATTTCTGTTAGAAGTAACAAACCATGAATGCCCAGTATCTTTGCTACTGTTTAAAAAGAAGGTCGTTGGGAATGCTTGTTCTGATTTAGATCTAACGCATCCCTCCTGTGATCAGCGGAGAGGCTTTCAGAGCGTGACTGGGTCACAGTGTCAATTCGGGGCGCACCCTAGCTGGATGCACTGGGAGGTGCTGGGGCCTGGTCACTGCACGTGGCCTGGCAGGATGTTCTTGTCCCCTTGTCCGCTCCTTTCCTTTGCTTCCTGGCTGCTATGGGTTAAGGAGCTTTCTTCCACCAGGCCCTTCCTGCCTTGGGGCAGCTACTTGTGAGTCCATGGGCCAAAATCGACCTCTCCTTTTATTTTTGGTACTGGGGATTGAACCTAGGGCCTTCACAGTGAGCTACGTCTCCTTTCTAACTTCTATTTTGAGGCAGGGTCTTGCTAAATTGGTCAGGCTGTGCTCAAACTTGCAGTCCTCTTGCCTCAGCCTCCCAGAGTGCTGGGATTGCAAACACGTCCTACTGCACCCGGGTGGATTGCTCCTTCTTTAAGTTGCAGGCCTTGGGTGTTTTGCCTCAGTGATGGGAAAAGGACTAATGCAATGCCTTAAAGGGAGATAAAACTTAATATTTTCAGATAAGTTCAATATAGAAAAACATAAAGCACAGAAAGTAACACCAATAGAAGGTAGAAGCATTTAAACGATCAAGTGTTTCAATGTGAAAATCTAGATTTCTATCTACTTTCTAAACAGTGGAAGATCTGGCAGTTTGCAGCCTGCTGTCGTTACAGCACCAGCGAGATACGTGCTGTGGACACTGCTTTCCCATTTGGCCTCTTCCCACTTCTCAATATTTTCTACCTGGACCCCTTCTCCTATTTCTGCCAAGTGACTCCGTAGAACATCTGCAGTTTCTGTGAGGAGAAATCCACATTGTTGTTCAGTACTCAACTTGTACAACTATACTTGGAAATTTTGCATTGCTACTGTTGCATTTAATTTGTAATTAAAGGAAGGTGATTTATTGGAAAATTTGAGCATTTCCAAAGTTAGTTTAACTCTATTTTACAATATTGTATGATTGTTACAAGAACTGGTGGATTTGAATAACATGGTAATGTATACTGATACCATAAAGCTAATGCATGGGGTGTCCTATATAGCCCTGTGCTCAGGATCAGTTAGGAACCATATTATTTTTGAAAATATAGTCCCTAACATTAACATAATTTGGCTCTGAAGTCATGGAAAATACACTTATAACACCTTGCACACAGCAGGTACTTAAATAGACCTAAGTTTCACTGTTGCTTTTCCTACCAGCTAAGATTTATCAAGTACTTTCTACAGAGCCAATTATAGTTCAAAGCACACGTTGGGTATCATCTCATTCATTATTTTATTCCACCTTGTCTAATAGTTAACTTTATATCATTTGGATAGGAAGCTTTCTGAAAGTAAGCGTACAGGTTTATTTATTGTGTACTAAACATTTTATTGCCATATAATTTTAAAGAATAAATACATTTTCAGAAGCAGAATTTTTATACATGGGGAACTTTAAAAATGTATTTGTAAATTATCAACATGATACCTTTTATCCATAGTTTCAGTGGGCAATTCTCATGTACTTTTGGAGGGTGGAAACTATATAAGAATAGTTGATATTATGAAACATATTATATATTCATAAGTATAGTATGAATACTATATATATATATGAATACTATATATATCTGAGGGTGATATCAATACAGTAGTATTATAAAGTCATGAGAAATTTATAGTCTATGTGGACAAGAAGATTTGGGAATGTGAAACATTTAGATACCATTGTAAGTAAGTGATGATCAAATGTCACACTTTTGTTCATTGCAGACAATAATGCAACCCTACAATGTCAACTGGAAAGTAGGGAGGGTTAAAATGCTTACTATTTAACAAATACTATGTACCAGAAACAATTGGATCAGACTCCTGACTGTCTTGAAAACCTATGCATTTTTATCATAAAAGGATATTTTGCCAGGATTTTAGCCCTCAGAGACCAGGTTTTATTAAGCTTTCTGGTCCACCATTAGACAACTAGAATATGGACCTTGGGTTCCCGATCCGTTTTAGCTATTCACAATCTATAAACCATACTTAAATGGCAGTCCATAACATTGAGAAGGGAGTGGCCCACATATTTAAGGAGACAGTCCATAGTACACAGCAGCACGTCACTGCTATCTCCTTGGCGACACCAACCACTAAGAGAGATTGAGCATCAAATCTTACTTGTTTTGGGGCAATGTTTTGCTATATGGCAATGTTCTGCTGTAGGACAAAACAGTAAGAAATTATACTGAAGACTACAGCAATCTCTGACATAAATTCAGAATCATCTGAAAGCAGGGGCTACTTGCTTTAACATTATCTTTTATTTCTCTGAGATGGCTTTGATCTCCTAGGCTCAGGTGATCCTCCTGCCTCAACATCCCAAGTAGCTGAGATTACAGGTATGGGGCACCATGCCTGACTTTAGTTCAGTATTATTTTGAGACTCAGTACTGTAGTATATGCTATAGAGCTCTTGATGTGCTAAGATATATTTGACCTTTTCTTATTTAAAACATAGAGTCCATTCAGAAAAGCACTTGTTATTTTTTTAATATCCATTTTTTTCTGTTTGAGAGTTAGAATTTTGTGAAGACTTCAATTTAGGATCATATTTTAGATAGAACTTATGTTTCAGGCATAGTTTTTACTCCATTCATTATGGAGAGAAGCAATTAATCATACTATTTAGCAGGAAAAAGTTCACATTAGACTATAATTGCTCTCATGAAGATAATTTTTCCTGTTGTTTTATCTTGCTTTTCAAAGTAATTGGTTGAAAAGTGGAGAGTACTTCACAAAATTTTAAAGATGTGCAAAATGAACTAAAATAAAAAGACAGATATTTTATACTATTTTTGAGTGTCTAAAGCATCTTTCTCTGAGATGTTGTGTCCTCATTTACTCATGGATAAGTTATTTGTCAGTGATCAAACCACATGGAATGTCTAGTTCTTTTTATTGTGCTTGTCCTTAGAACTCCTTAGATCAACAACATCCATCTTATGGATTAAAAAATAAATATGTCATTTTTATGTAAGTTGGAAGGGGAACATATTAGTAAATATCTTCCTTTCATGTTTTCCCCCTATGTTTGATGGCAACTTCCAGGAAATGGAGGATTCCAAATGACAGAAACACACACACACACACACACACACACACGAGTTTGAAGCAGAGCCAGGATAAA